GATTAACAGTTCAACTGATATGGTAAAAAATGGTGAGCACACAAAAATGTAATGTGTGAGTGTATATATTTGTGTGAGGCAGGAGTAGGACAGCTGTCAGGCTCTTGTCAAGACAGAATTGGGTTAGAGAAGCTTACATGACCCAGACATTTGAGTCACCCCCGGGGTCAGGGGCCAGTCAGGCATGGCAAGACATCACCAACCCATTTGCCAATCCACTGAAAGGATGTGTATTGGGTCCTAAAGGGTCCCAAAGGGCCTGTATAACACATCTCAGAGAGATATGTACATAAATTATTAGAACGAATCATAATTTGACTGTGCCATGTTGTTTACAAGATAAATTCCAGTTTACACTAGGGCTGTCAAGAGATGACATTTTCACTATAAGATTGTCACAAAAAAATTAAGATAACATTGTTATACCTATTACAAGGTTTCAAATTGTCACCGACTCGGTCCCGGTCATTCCCCTCGCTGACCAGCAGAGGCCGCCCTCTCCGGACTTTTAGCATTACATCATCCATCTACACTGATTGCGAATACACCTGATCTGAATCTTGTTAACGACCCACGTACCTCATATAAGCCGCACTCAAACACTCAGTCAGTGCGAAGTCTTGTTCAGCCCCGGCCAGCATTACTGAGCGTTATATCCAGCCTGATCTCTTGTGTACGACTCCAGCCTGTCTCTTACTAGTGGTGGGCAAAGCGAGGCTTCGTGAAACACTGAAACTATCGAAGCAAATGTGTCGAAGCTTCGAAACACCACTCTAAGGTGACACCTAGTGGTCATTTTAATTATATTTCACTGAAACAGCTTCAGCAAAGAACAGTTGAGCAAATTAGGGTATGAAATCCCACTTTGCAGCCCTGAATCTGCAAGTGGTTTAGACGAGCGGTTTGAGTCTGTGACCACCATGCGGGAATAATGGGTTCGAATCCATGCTAAAACAACTATTTTGAAATGCTTTAATAGCAGTTGGTAATGCTTTGTTATTGTATCGTTTTGTTTCAACATTGCTATGACATACGAATAAACACCTTGTAAATAAATTTGTATTGTTTTGTTCATAAAACAGGGTTGTTGCTAGATCAGATACAGTTGTGGCCAGAAGTTAACAATAATTATTTATATTATTAATTAAATTTCCCATTGTATTTTATTAACGTCTATCCAAAACCTAAACCCATCACAGTACTTTAAAAATATGAATTATTGTTTTACAGTGTATAAAAAATGATGCTAAAATAATGGCATATCCGTAGCTGTATCCTATCTAGACTACACCATAAAACAGTAACATGATTAAAGTATATAAAATCATGATTTTGTAGTATTTGGACTAGTCGGGATTCGAACCCAAAATAAATTTGTAACACAGATCTGTGGTGCACACGCACGGTCCACTAAGCCATACAACACACTGTTACATCATTGATCATGCCAGTCAAATGCAGATTCTCCGGGTCATGAAACGCCTCTGAAATGATCAATGCTTTGAATCGCTTTAGTCACGTGACCAAGTGTTTCGAAACACTTTAGTCACGTGACCTGGGTGTTTCGGATCATGCTTCGGTACAGTGTTTCGAAACACTTGCGCTTCGGGATCTCGACACTGTGTCGAAACGTCAGTTTCACGTCAGCCATCCTTATCTCTTACTTTGCTTCGCCTTCTGCCTGCCCTCGACCCACGCCTGATATACGGACTCTGATTCTCGCTGCCTGCCCTCGACCCAAGCCTGTTACACGGACTCTGATTCTCGTTGCCTGCCTTCGACCCAAGCCTGATACACGGACTCTGATTCACGCTCGCTGCTCTCTACTCATGCCTGGTAACTTACTCTGTATCTGTTCACCGTCATTCTTGAAACCATTACTACTACTGTGGCTGTGTGTGTGCACCCAGGTGCATATTGTGTGTTTGAGTGAAGTTGTGATTAATAAATACTGCATAATGGATCCCCGTGTCAGTCTCCTCGTTACACAAATATAATTGTCATTCCAAATCTAAAATTGTGATTTCTAAGATCTGGCATTTTTACAAGACTTTACAATCTTCAGTGTTTCCCCTACCATTATATTAGGGAGGCGCCTCTCTTTCCCACGGCTTTCCCTGCGCATCTTGAAGTCAAGTTAATTATATTTTATATATAGTGCCAGATCACAACTTCTTCTAATAAACAAGCTAAATAGCCGTATGTAATATCTTATTAACACAACGGCATGTGATTTCTGTCTCTACATGGTCGTGAGATTACAAATTTCTGCTCTCTTAATTGCGCACAGTGGAGTTTTAGCCACTCTCTGCTGTTTGGAAATGAGTGTGTGTGTGTCATATCTGACAGGACCTAAGACGCACGTATGCTCACGTATATTATGCATACCCTACAGCAGTCAAACACAGGTAAATGATGTGTGGGAGCGTAATGCGTTTACATCACAGCAGCTAGAATATATAGATGCAATAGGACCTCTGTTTAGTTTATTGGCGTGATTCGCGCAAGTGATGCTGTTTGTTGCAAATGCAGTCACTGAATTTCCAGTGTTTTGAGCTGCTATGACGCGTTCGCCCCTATCTAGTGTCTCATCCAACCTTATGAGCTTTCCCGGAAGCACCTTGAGTCTTCTCCAAATTTATACCTACCGGCCCTGTGATCCCAAAAATAGTTAAAAACTCGGAAATAATGACAGCGAGAATGAATGAGCAAGAGAACAGGGGCCTCATGTATCAATGCTGCGTACGCACAAAAACTTTGCGTACGCCAGGTTTCACGCTCAGAATCGCTCACGTTTGGATTTACTAACAATGAACTGAACGTGGGAATGTGCGCAGCTTCACGGCAGCTTTCTGGCAGGCGTACGCACATTTTGTGCGTGTCTGTTTTATTTCCATTGGCGACTCCTAGAGGCAGTTGTGTTAAATTCCTTTCTACAAAGTGTCTGAGCCTTGCAATAGCAGCTGTATGAGACGGGTTCAGCAGGTATATAAGGTTTCCATACCATACATTTGACCAGCTAAACATTAAAGCACAATTTGCAGCAGTCACCTGTTTTCCCAATGTAATCTGAGCGATCTACCGCACGCACATTGCTATAAAGACACTATCTGAAGATGAATTTGCATGCGTGAATCAGAAACATTTCCATTCAATAAATGTGCAAATAAAATATGATGCTTATTGATATGAACTTATTGATGATTCCTACTTGTCTTTCTTGTGATAAATAGTTGGCAAAATCTGATATGTAGCGGGGGAAAAAACAAGAGAGTTCATCAGACGCTGGATTCGAGCCGAGTTCATGCTCGTTCGTGTCAATTCATGATCACATGCGTCTTACGAGCGCGCCACTGAGACTGTTAAGCGTCCTGCAACATTTTACAGATATAAACCACACTATTTCTTTTCTTTAATGCACTCAGTGCGATGTTCAGACCCAACTGTGTTGACCGCATCAGCTAAACTCTCCCACTCTATTTTTTTCTTTTGTTGTTAATTCCGGAGAACAAACTTGCAAATAACACCGCTTTTCTCCGGTCTACCTCCGAAAGCAGCACCTCCAATTCACAGTCTGTTCAAAGTTTCTCTTTTTGCTTGCTTTTGACATTGCTTTTTCGTTGGATTTTGCCATTAGCATAGTCATAAGCATATTCATATGGGGGAGGAGGCAGGGAGGGGTTTTGTGCTCGTGCATGTTGCGCTCAGTTTCATGTTCATTCAGATGTACAAAAGAATATGCGTGAGATTCGGCGTACGCAGTGTTTCATACATCTGAAATTTTTTCTGCGTACGCACATTTACAGCTTTGTGCGTACGCAATGTTTTAGTAAGATTTCCACGCAAGTCTTCGTACATGAGGCCCCTGATCACAAAAGGCATAGTGATGGTCTAAGCCAGGGGTGTCCAAACTTGGTCCTGGAGGGCCAGTGTCCAGCATATTTTAGTTTCAACCCCAATTAAACACACCTGAACCAGCTAATCAAGCTCTTTCTAGGTGTACTAGAAACTTCCAAGGAGATATGTTGAAATAAGTTGGAGCTAAACTATGCAGGAGTTTGGAAACCCCTGGACTAAGCATTACATTTCTTCGGTTAAATGAATAGAGGGTTTTGAACTTGCGATATCTTTACTACTCTATCTCTCTCATTGATGGATTTGCTGTCAATAGTTGTAGACAAGCAAAATATAACAATGTAATTTGGAAACACTGCAAATTATGGAAGAAGAGTTCAACATGTCTCAATCAAGAAAAAGTTTGGACCTATAAATCTAATACATCTTTACTAAAAGGTGGACCTATACACTGTTTATTGCAATAAGTTTATTACAAGAATATACTTATAATATAAAGTTGCAAATCTTTTACAAAAGTACTTTACAGTAGGTTTGACTTCACAAAACAAAAAAAAATTCTTGGCCACTGTCCCACTGCACCAAATTTCATCCTGCGTTTTTCCCACTGAATACGGTATGTGGAACACATGAGCAAAATCGGTCCGAAAAATAAAAGATTTAAGGAAATTCAAAAAAGTGATCAAAAGATTGTTGTCTGATGAGGTTAGTTAGTTTGCATGGTGGATGATGATGTTTTATTCTATAGGTTATTGCATGGCGAGTAATTTTGTTCCTGTTTTGAAATGTGGAGTTACTGTTTGTTTTATGCTTTAATTGTATTTTTCAGCCATACTTAGTTTTTTTTTTAACAGTGAGAACCACAATGGAAACAAACCCAGGGCTTCATTGTGCTTTTATCCTCGACAGTTTTGTTTTGAAATGTATGGGATGCTTAAATTTTTTGCACAGTTTGTCTAAAATCTGTCAAATAAAAATTTTATTCAATTCACATTAAGAAAAATGCTTGGGGAATTTTAAACAACATGCTTCTTCTTAAAATGTGCTATCAGTTATTTGTTTTCAGACATATTTTTATTTATTTTATTATTATTATATTTTTTTTTTATTGCTTTAGTAAAATTAACCGCAGTTCACTTACAAACCTTGCCATTGTAGGTCATGAGACATCTGACAATGTACTCTCCTGAAACGAGAACTTTCCTGTTGATTGCAGTGCGCTCTTTCTGATCCATAATGGCTGAGACCAAATGCCCTATAGCAACGAGAGTAACTTTGTTAATTACTGTGCTCGCTGTTCAATTAACTATGCAATAGAGATCACTGCCAGACCTGCTGCTGATAACAACTATCAGTCATTTGGAATTTATAGAAATTCATTAAAAATGCCGACACCTGAGCAGATTTTCAAATGAACCCGGAGGGATAAACTCATTTCCACCGTTCTTCTGTTTTTTTTTTGTATATCTCAGAGACACCAGTTCCATTCTAATGTCCTCACACACATTTAATCCACATAGCAGGTTGTATGGAAAGATACTATATAATACCCTGACAAAAATAAATAAATAAAATGTTGAATAGACTACAAATGTCTTACTGCCTCACATGGCATCTATAAAAATCAAAAGAATATCTTTATGCTTGACGAAAATACAGATTTGGCTCTTAGTGAAACTTCAGTGTTAGTCTATAATGTGCCCGGTTGATGGCTTCATTGAGCCAATAACCGGAATTCCTGTGTTTTCTGTGGCATTTTTATGTTTCCATGGATACAGAGGACAGACCGTTAAAAAGCAATTATTGAGGAAGAGAGAGTGGAATTCACCCCTTTGTCAAGATTTCATAACAGCTGTAATAACACTGTCCGCCACGCTAATGCGAAACTCCTGAATGAATCTGCCTCACACGCATCCGCTCTGCTTCTCCGAGGACAATATACTGTCCTCTGTATCAAATCAAGGTCCATTATAATTTTTTTTTTTTAAACTCGCTGCCTATTTAAAAAAAGGCATGTATAGTATGCTTTTTGCTTGTCTCAGTCTGTGTTTTGATGTGTACAAACACAGCACATCTAATCGCTGAGAAAACAGGACAGCTTGAGGTATATATCTGATCCTATCATATCAAATGTGTATCTAAACTGAAACAAATGAAGTAGGTAATCTCTTTTTCCATCAGGAAAGCCATTCTTCATATCAACACCTATCCGTTATAAAATCTTTCCAAAACTGTCAATTTCTGAGCAGGGTGAGTGCGCGCAGTATAGACTAATATATACACACTAATATGCACTGAAAAAAATTATTCAAAGATGATTCCTTGGATTTACTATTTTAAGTGGTTCTAAACAATTTATTTGTGTTGAATTTAAACAAACAAATTAAGTTGAACATTATTAAACTTAATTTGTTTGTTTAAATTCAACACAAATAAATTGTTTGCAACAATTCTGCATGCAACACTTTTTTCAGTGACAGACAGACAGACAGATAGATAAAGCATATACATCTATTGCCATCTTAATGCAAGTGCTTTAATGGTCAAATACATCTACATTGGTGTCAGAGCGTGGTGTTTAGTGATTATTCATATTAACCCTGATTTGTGTAATAAACAAGTTGAGAATCAAAAGACATGTGAAAGAGAAACCATATCAAAGCCGCACTATTATTAAAGTGACAGCGCGCAATATTCCTGCTGCCGCCTGTTTTTATTATTGATCAAACAACAAAAGGAGAAAATCCCTCACTGCTCGACTAAAAGACTTTTGTAGCAGAAGTTTTTTTCTTACAGTGAAGATGCTTATAGCACAGTTTGTTTCATATTTGTATTCTATTGTATTCATTTCCCTTTCCTTTTTTACAGGAAGTACAATAACTGTATACATACACAATTGAAGTCAGTATTAATAGCCCTCCTGAATTATTAGCGACCCTTTCCCCCCAATTTCTGTTCAATGGAACGATTTATTTTCAACCCATTTTTAAACATAACAGATTTAATAAAATTTTTAATAACTGAATTCTTTTATCTTTGCTGTGATGACAGTACATTATATATTTACTAGATTTGTTCAAGATACTAGTATTAAGCTTAAAGTGACATTTAAAGGCTTAATTAATGTAATTAGGCAAGTCATTGCATGACAGTAGTTTCCTCTGCAGACAATCAAAAACATATTGCTTAAGGGGGCTAATAATATTGAGCTATTAAAATACTGTAGGTTTCATATTATTTAAACCTGCTTTTATTCTAGCTGAAATAAAACAAATAATCCTTTCTCCAGAAGAAAAAAAAATATTATAGGAAATACAATGAAAAAATTCTCTGTTAAACATCATTTGGGAAATATTTATATATAAAAAATTTACAGGAAGGCGAAAATTTTGACTTCAACTGATAATCGTTTTGAATAATCATGATTACAAGTATGACCAATTAACCGTGATTATGATTTTCCCATGATCGAGCAGCCCTAGTTTTTGTCCAACACCATGAATTGATATATTAGAAACAGCTTATATTTCTCACAGTGTGACAATGATCACCTCAAGTACACCTCATGTGCTTTATACAGTTTCAAATGCTAATAATGTGAGTATGAATGTAATTTTACCTGACATTTATTGCCATACTACTAAAAGCAGCAGCAGATCTTGAAAATTGTGATTCAGCATGTAATGTACATTTAATAACGCTAAAGAGGGTTAATATGTATTAAATAGATTATAAACCAAACTAGTGAGTGCATATTCTGTGCTTCTGAATGGCTGTATTTACATTTCTGTCAAGTTTCGTCTGGTGCAAACAGCCAAATTGCTTATCACTGCAAATCTAATCATGAAGCATGTTGTTAGGACACGGGATTACAATGTAACATAATGAACAACCTCATGTGGAACTCTGAATCTGCGTCTCATTTCGTAGTCTACTGTCCACCAAAGGTTGCATTATGGTCCAAGATGCATGCTTTCAGAGCCTTTCTGAATGAATGAAATATGCGGTTTTCCACCAAGGCAACACGTGTGCTGAAACATAATTGGCTAAACTGGCAATAAGCAGGTTAAAATTACCAAAACATTTTTCAAAGCAGAAAATCTGACTTCAGCATTGTTTTTCAGATAAACAAGTATGTTCACTTGGTACGTTCCTTAAATATCTGCAAAAGCATTACGGTATTTTTATGCTTTAGATGAGTCAAAAACTTACATACAGCACCTTTACGTGTATGCTCGGAAACAAAAATAAATTAAAATGTTCAAAAAACACATACATGCATATATACGTACATAGGGGTGACACTTGAAAACCCATTTGTATCTTTGTATCCTTATTTTTTGTCCAAATAAAGTATATTTATTATATAAAATTGTGTAATACTATTTTTCTCTATTCATTGCACCCTAGGTTTTCCACTTCTTCAGTTCTTCTCAAGACCACACCTGAACGCTGTGAACCCTTCCTCAGAGTGACAGTCACATTAAAATGCCATTAAAGTGTGAAATAGGAACAAGGCGTGAAGGGAGGTTTAACCCCAAGCTACTTCTGAGCACCCTTGGATTATACAGATATACTTTTCTTCCTTGTCCACTTTTTTAACCAGTTGCCTTTCACTTTCATGTTCACTTTCCACAAGGCCAATGAAAAAGAAAAACATGTTTGTGTGAGGGGTGGGTTGTGCAATAGTGGGCTGATGAAAGAATGGCAAGGTTAGGGTGTGAGTGCATTAAACGGCCAATGCCTACCTCTATTTTCCAATCAGTCTATTTTCTATGTGTCTTTTAGCAAGCTCACCTCTCACTCCACACATGCATAAGCAATGGGGGATGACACTGCCTTGCACCTGAGCACGCTTTTAAAACACACTCTGTGCATCTGTGGCACATCTACAAAAAGAGCCAGAACAAAGGCGCTGAAACCTGGGATTGTTCCATGATCGCAGCAGCAACAAAAGTGATCGCTCACGCAAGTCACAATAACATGGCCTGTGTGTAGTCTGCCTTCTTTAGCAAAAACTTGTTATTTTATATGGATTTGACTGCATTTCAGCACTAAAAAGTACTGTTGATTTTGCTAAGGGTCTCAAGCTGTGCTCTTTGGAGGAGGAGCGGTGCATGGACTGAGATCCTGGCTTGTGTCAAGTCAATGAGACTGAACACGTTAAAACTGATGAGAGTGTACTTAGACAGGTTAGGGCTCACCACACGTTTGCTGCCTGGATGCACTAAATAAATCAATAGTATCTGCAGGAATATACAGAAAACACATTTGGCTGGAAGTCATCTGTTTTAACAACTCAACTCAAGTCAGATTTAAACAGAACATGTAATACATGTGCATACACAACCTTTTTAATGTTTTATGATAATCTTATTTTGCTCACAAAGGCTGCATGTATTTCAGAAAAAAATACAGTAACATAGAAAGTGACATTCAATTTTAATGTGAGATTAAATAACTGTTTTAAGTGTAATTGTATTAATTCTTGTGTTTTAAAGGTAAATTTTAAATATGACTAGTATTTATTCATTAATTTTCCTTCGGCTTAGTCACTTTATCCATCAGGGGTTGCCACAGGGGAATGAACCGCCAACTTATCCAGAATAAGTTTTACACAGCGGATGCCCTTACAGATGCAACACAGTACTAGGAAACATTCAAACTCCCTTGCATTATGATTAGTATTCAGTGTTACATGACTCTTCAAATATTCTAGCATTCGTAAACTCATACAACACCATTCAAAAGTACCATTAAACATTTATTTATTTTTATTCATAACAATATGTTGTTAAGATTGTATAAGGGTAAACGTAAACATTTATATTGTAAAGAATAAGATTGCAACTAAAAGCTATTATTTGGAAGTTTTCTTTTTTAATCAAATCATCCTAAAAGTAAAATGCATCATGGTTTCCATAATACTACACTCAAAAAAATAAAAAAATAAAAAGAATAATTACTTAAAAAGAATAAATTATATATATATATATATATATATATATATATATATATACACATTTAAATGTTCAAACTATTTATGTAAAAATAACTGAAATAACACAATTATGGAGATTTAACACCATTTAAATTTGTCATGTTACTGTAACTTACTCAATTTGTGTTGTGACCCAATGGAATCCAACAGTTTTTACAATGTATACTTTTTTTTTTTTTAATTTAGAACTGACAAATTTTTATGATCAATTATTTTTGATAAAATAAACACTAATAATGATTAATACAACTAACGAACAAATTAAAAAATCTATTTCTTGAATGAAACAATGCTCTTGAACAATGTACATGCTTAAGAAATAAAGAGGATGTCTTTCAAAAAATAAGGATTCCTCTATGTATTTGGATTTATTTTGTAATAAAGTTTACGGCCCTTTGGCCGCCGGAAGGAGGCAGAGAACCGACGGAGCTTTAAAATATTTATTTATAACAATGACGGCAGCTCCTCACGGAGACTGCCGTCTAAACCAAAACAAACGGACGCAGCTCCTCACGGAGACGGCCGTCAAACTGAAAGCAAAAGTAAAATATGTCCGGGCCCGGTCCTCTCTCGGCTTCCTCTGCCATCGGTCCTCCTCTTATGGTCCAGAGCTCCTTCCGTGAGATCCGAGGCAGGTGCGGACGGCAGGTGTATCCACTTACGCGGTGGCCTCACCCCGTTCCCACGGCTCTCGGCCACGCCCCCTCGCCACATATTTATTTATTTATTTATTTATTTATTTATTTATTTATTTGTTTATTTGTTTATTTGTTTATTTATTTATTTTTTCGTTTTTCTGTTTATTTATTTATTTTAAGACTTTTGCTGCTATACTTGTTTACTGATATCTTTGTCTTTGTAATTTTTTGTATGTTTATTAAAACCAATAAACAAAAAATAATAATATTAATAATAATAATAAATAAAATAATTGATCGTAACAGCAAACCATCCTATTATAGTAATTTCTAAAAGATCACATGACACTGAAGATGGTAAGTACTGAAGTAAATACTGAAGTAATGACCATGAAACTGCATTAATTAAATTTGTGAAAAAAATCTATGTATTCGTTTTCCTTCTGCTTAGTCCCTTTATTCATCAAGATTCGCCACAGCTGAATGAACTGCTAACTTATCCAGCATATGTTTTACACAGCGGATGCTCTTCCAGCTGCAACCCAGTACTGGAAAACACCCATAAACTCCACACAGGAATGTCAACTGAGCCAGCCAGGACTCAAACCAGCGACCTTGCTGTGAGGCTACAGTGCTAACCACTGAAAACCCATGCCGCCCATCTGTTTAACAGCAGTTTCAGCTTTTCATTGATATCACTGGGATAGATTAGAATTCAAAATTTTTTTTTACTTAACCATTTACATTAAAGCACAGTGAAAGCTGATATCAAACCACTTAAATACCCCCTTCACACCTCAACTACCCAACTATGAAAGTTAAACTGCGTCCATGTCTATGGGGGGATATAAGAATTCTTTCCTAATTAATTCCTCTGCCCCGTGTAACCCTCAGACTATTCGTAATCCAGAAGGGAACATCTTTATTGATCTTGGGAACGCTTGAGTAGACTCCCAATGCTTATCTCAGCATAAAAAGCATCTCTTGTGACGAGCCACGATTTAATTAGATGACAATCACTGTTAACAATGCACTGCAGACATCACAAAATTTGCACATTGGTGCTGGCAGTGATAAATTTCAGCTGCTCGGACAGGGACAATTCACATCCTGGAATTAACTCTTTCCATATGAGCAGAAATTTCAAAGAAGGGCTGCAGTTATTGTTAACTAGAGGGAAAAAAAAACACAATCATTTTCCATACACAATCTGTCAAAGCCTGAGCTGCAATTAAGGTTTACCCATCCGTAGATAACAGACTAAACTCGCTGCACTTTTTTTTTTTTAAGCAAGCTGCAAATGATGATGGTAGATGGTGATGTTTCATTGTTATAATCACAAAAAGTTGAAAAGAAGCAATTTATTTGAAAGTCATGCAGTTTGGGGTATTATCCACAAGAGGGCAGTGTGTGTGATTTTCCAAATTATGAAAAATAAACACTTTTCTTAAAATGCAAAATATAATTTATAAGAATACTTCATAATTATAGGTAATATTTAAATATTTACGTTCATATAAGTGCACATTATGTAATTCAGCCTGCTAGTATTGCTCTTTTTTTCCATCTATTTAATTGTATTTATTTTTACACTTAATTCATATTTGCTCATGTATTTTTTTTATAATAATATTACATATAAAAAGTTGTCAATAATAAAATATATCAAATAACAAAATAGGTCAAGTTTAGGTCAAATAGTGTTGATCATGTGGTAAAAACACCTTTAAGTGAAAATGTAATTGTTTTAATTGCTCTGAATAGTCATAAAGTATACCCGTGTAATTGTTTGTACCCTAACACCCAGACAACAAATGCATGCTTAAAAACAAAAAAATCTAATAATCTGTGATGTCTACTAATTTACAATACAAGTCATAATGTGATATTAAGGAATTATATGCTTGCTCAGAGTAATTCAAAGGGGTCGGTAGAAAAGTTATGCATGTGAAAACAAGTGATAAACATAATACTACTACTACAATCAATAATGAAAAATAAAATAATAATAATAATAATAAATAAAACTATTAAATGAAACACATATAAGTGTAGACAAAATAACTAATGCACAAATAATAAGACTGAAATTATCCATAATTAGATTAAGTTTGTGTAGTTTTCTTTTTACTTAATAGCAACTAACTACATTAAATGTCACCAATAAATAATAATAATTTTACTAAATACTGTTTTTACGTTTCAGTCATATTGTATTTGGGAGTCCATGACATTTAAAAGACCGAAAAGCCCTGTGTTAGATGATGCCACATCTGCAGTCATAAACACCTCCCAACACTTCATATTCATAAACTCATTAGCTCATCTTTCATCCGTAATGATGGGATCTTTTGGCAAAAGCTTTCTCTGACCAAGTGAGTCACATCCTGACCGCACATTACAAATCCCAGCCCCCAATGGCTGGCACTAAACATGGCACTTTCAAAAAAAAAAACAAGAAAGAACGAAAGAAAATTGTCGGGCCACGGTACAGTATTTTTTGGAAAGCGGGGCATAGGTGAAGGCCAGGGGCTAATGGCAATGAGGGATTTGTCAGTCATCCTAACATTTAATAATCCCTGGCTCTCCATTTTCTGCTGTTTGTTTATATTAACCTCTGGTTGAACCCACTTTAGAGGCAGCCTCTGTGCCAGAAAGTTCACTGAACATTCAGCATGGAAGCGGAGAACATGTCATCTCGAATCTATTAGCCCACAGGGGAGATTGCAGTCCACACACACACATACACACACAGCACAACTCGCATACACTCTAGGTAAGCTGCAAACCCTCACATTTTCTGTACTGATGGCGCCTGTAACTGAGATTATTGCATGCAATGACCTGATTCTGACCTCCCTTTTTCGCTCATGCTGAATAATCCTATCAAACAATGCAGTACATCTAACTGTTACTGCTTTCGACCGCATTCGGCATCACTGCGAATGAGTTCGCCGATCCTCCTTTCATTGCATTTGTTATTTTAGTCAATTAAATTATGATCACAAAAGTCAATAGGTGGAGAATATCTTTTGAATGTGAAAATAAATATTTGGATTTTGGAGATTGAATGCAACAGATTGCTGTTATTACCCAGACACAAATATTTAAGTAGTGTGTGCTTATCACTTGTAAACAATAGTGGTGCTCTGCTGTAAATGCTGCTTTCATTAACACTGTAGTGAGCACATAATGCTGAGGACACTTATCTTGTAGGATTGCTTACTGACCATTGGGTGGTGATAAAGAGAAGACACTTCAGCAGGGACAGGAGAATCTCTTCAGTTGAACACCCTCAAGGTGGGATGGAGGCTGACCCAAGATAAGTGTGAGGTCATCTAAACAGATAACGAAACAAACACCTTATCCTGGCAATAGAAAAATTAGTGTTATTTGCTTTCTGCATCTCAATTGTAAAAACTTGTAAACAATATAATCCCAACAAAGTGGCCTGTGTGACATTTAAATCTTTAACATGACTGTATGTAATGTATGTGTGTGTGTTAAACTGAATTGATGTTTATTAGTCCCTTACAAAGCGTGAATTGACCACACAAAACAAAGGTAACCTCAGAAATTAGGTATTTTATTTTTATCTAGATCTATATCTAGCAAAAAACACATATATTAAGAACTTAAAAATATTATTAATCCTCTAAAAGCCTTTTAGAACCACGTCTTTAGTGAAATGTTCATTTGTTTTGAATACTACTCGTTACATATGAAAACATGAAACCTTTTTAACAAGGACACGATTTTCAATCTGCATTTAAGTTAATACAATAGTTAAAACACAATTTTATATTTTAGTCAAAATATTAATGGAAAATAGAGAAAACCAGAGTTGTACTATCATCCTAAATTTAAAAAACGTGGTGGCATCAGGTTACTGTCTAAAAACACTAACGTTAAGTTAGCACACACCACGTTTGTGATGAAAGTGGTGGACATGTACAATTAGCCTACATAAACATAGAAACAATGCAGTAAATAATACTAATAATGATAATACTGTGCTCTGAACAAAGCGAACGTACCTCATTAACTCTTTTGATAGCTTTATTTTGGTAGATTCTAGTAGTGAGAAACTATTTCACCGCAACAGCTTCTGCATACATCTAAACGTAACGATCCATAGTGGTTCATAATGATTGCTTATTGGCTCTGGAGTCAAAAACTGACCAATTAAAACAATGTGTAGGCGGTCTCATGTCTAATCTGATTTGATATGGATTTGCCTGAAAAGTGGGCATGTTTAAATATCCAGTATATATATCTTAATATTTTTTTTAAATATAAATATTATATTTAAATCAAATTTTTAATGAGGGTACATTTATTTAAATTATTTATTTAAAAATCAGACACACCGAAAGATTTAGATGGGCGGGAGTAGGGACTGAAAACATGTAATTTAGCCAATTGCCGTGTACAAATAAAACACTGGGCGTGGCCTGCGTTGCGCGAGGCGTGGTTGGGCTTCTTCAGCAAAGTTAGTGAGACCAAATTATTTTGTTTATTTATTTTTGTCCGCCAAATTTGATTCATGTGTGTTTGTATTATTTATGTTTACCTTAATAAAGATATCAATTAGAAAACATTTGTATTATATCAAACTTTTACAAACAGCAAGGGAACTGTTTTCACGTATGCAGTGTCCTCACCAGGCAAACAAATGCCCCTGTGCGCGCGCGAGCGTGTATTAGCATTGTGAAAATCTAATAGATAATGATATACACATTATTGCTTCAACAGAAACCAACATGACACCTACTGAAGAAAAAACACTGGATTTGGTCCTTGACAATGAGCAGAGAGGTGGTTACAGCTCTGGTGAAGTAGTGTCTGGACATATTTCTCTCAAACTTTCAAGAGAAACCACAGTCAAAACTATAAAAGTTCTGCTGAAAGGATATGCTCAGGTGAGCTGGATGCATAGGCAGTCCCGCTGTTCAGAAGAGAGAAAATACCTTTCCTTATCCAAGACACTTGTAGGAGCTACAGGTAGGCCTTCTGCAGTGCATAACATTTTTTTTTTTTTTTTGCACTTTGCATGTATATTTGTGATGGTGAAAGTGTGACATGTTCAATTGGCTTCAAACCTATGAATGTGGTACCGTTTAATTCATTAATGTCTGATTAGGTATCCAGGACTTCATCCTTGATAGTGGCACACATGTAATCCCCTTTGTGCTACAGCTACCTCAGAGGTAAGTAGGGCACGATTGTGAGAATGGGACAGGGGCCAGCATAACTCCATTATGCTGGGTCTCCCACAGTCAATAAGTGGATGCTCTTATTTGCCTGGTGTTAAAGATGTACTGAAACATTATTATTATTATATATTTTTTTCTTTGTTGCGTTTAGTCCTAACACAAAGTTTAAATATTATTTTGAAATCTATATGTGTAAAGAATGTATCCTCTTATTTCTCATATGAACACCAATGACCTTTTTTCTATTGAGGTAAAGTTGGTTTTATATTCCCACATTTGTTCACTAACAACTTGGGACATGCTCCCTATATTGTTTACCGTGGTACTTTGAATATTCGGTCTAAAACCACGTGTAAGCTATGATGACTTGAAAACAACATTAGCTTTATTTAATTGACTGTAGACAATGTTGTACTTTGATAGTCATTGGCTGCTAATATGGTTTTACTCCTTAGAATTTGCAAATAGTATTTTTGTGAAGTTATAATATTAAGGAGAAAGTCTGAATGTGTGAATATAAAACTAACTTTACCTCAATCTTTTTCTTGTCTCCAAGCCCCTTGGTTTCCTCATTTTCTGGAAAACATGGTCGTGTTCACTACATGGTGCAGGCAGTTTTAAAAAGGCCTTTCAATGAGAATCAGTGTGTTTGCAGAGATCTTTGCATCATTAATCACATTGATGTCAATTTGCCAACATTAATAGTAAGTATATCAAAAATGCCCACCCAATTCAAGATATTCAGAAGTGTAGTCCAAATCCACTGTATTTATTAAACAGTAGACAAAAGTACTATCTCTGTGCTGCTGAAATGTGCATTTGATGGACGCTTCCCTTTCATATGAGGCTACAGGAATGGTTTGTAAATGGCAGTGCAGAAACACCACTCATGGCATAAGTCATATGACATTATGGCAGAAACAGTATGTCTAAATTACACATTGCTTTTTAAAAGTCACAAAGTTTCAAACCAAATGCAATTTCTACTCTATCCTACATTATTATTTCAAACATAATTGATGTCTGAATTTCGAGTATTCATGAAACAGTAAGCAGAAAAATACCCAAAAGATCGAGAGGGGTCTGGCTGCAGACTTGGTGCAGTGCAATCTGGGCTGCATCCAATGCTTTTATAATGGGCTCACCTAACCACACCCCTAACCCTACCCGTCACAGTGACATCACTGGCTCCATTTGAGTGCATTGTGTCTGACATTGCATCGCTGCATCCAGATACTGTTGAAAAGATCTACTGCTTCTGGGGTGATTCTAAAGTATACTTACTCACTCATTTTTACAATTCCAATTAACTATGCAATTAACTATTCTGAGATACCACAGAAGAGGCGTTGTGAATGCTACATGACAATTTTAACATTGCGTTTGTAGTACATTTTTTTTTTATTTCATTCATACTATGCATTAATTCTATATATAGACTATTTTAATGTGGTCATGTCATTGGCCCATGAACATTTCCTGCTTGATATGAAACTATTTCATTACTGTAACAAGAGGCAATTCAATCAAAACTTAATGTTAAAACAGCTGCCATAACATTATTTATTAATATGTGGCTCTTTTTGGATTCTCGGAAGCTATAAAAATAAAAAATGTAAAACAGAAAATTCGTTGGGGCCATTGTATTTGTTTACATCTCTCAAAATGGTCGATACAGTATAAGTGAGGTCGACTCACATATGACACTTTGCTCAGTCTCAGTCAAGTGGAAAAAATTTAATTACTTATTTTTTATATTATAGTATAAATACTTAGAACATTCATGATCTCTAAATTTGTGTTTGTACAATTATTTTGAACCCCTTTGAGGCAAGGGAAAACTAATATAATGATAATAATATCATAGGTATGGAACATTCTTAAAAACCTCTGCAATAATATACAGTAATTCATCTTGATTTTATTTATAATAAGAATCTTGAGTTTATTTATAATAAGAATGTAGAATTTAAATGGTCAGAATTTCATCTTGTCTTCTGATTCAGAATTTTTGTTACAGTCTCCTGTATCACAAACCTGTAAGAAGATGATCGGGCGTTGGATCTTTGCTTCAGGTCCCATCTCACTGACTGTCAACATAGACCGACAGGGTTATTGCAATGGTAAGAGAAAATCAGTATATTATAAACTAGGTTATTTTTTATTTGTAACTAGGTGAATCAAAATGGTCTGTTGAAAGGTTGTAAGATTTTTAACCCTTTTATAAAAAAAGATGTATGAAGGTTTCCACAAAAATACTATTTAAAATAATATAATAATAAGTTATTCTTTTGTACTTTACAAATACTTTCTGTATTTTTAATACAACATTTTTCCAAAAATCCTACTGACCTCAAACTTTGAAACAGTAATGTATATTGTAAATCTAGTCAGATCACCATCACTGCCAAACTTCTGGTTCCAAATTCACAAAACATGTTATCTTACCTTTCAGAGTTACTAAATAGCAGTAAACATTTTAGCTAATAGTGCATCTAAAATCGCACACTTCCTTACTATATAGTATGTGAAAAACAGTAGGTGAGCCGAGTAGTATGTCTGAATTTGTTAAAACATTTACAAGAACAAAAGTTAGCCCTGGCACACTGCTTATTTTCAGGATTTTTTGTCCACAATTGGCAAGTAAGGACCGACTCTTAGCCTTAAGATGTTTTGTAAATACCATCCCAGATTCCTAAGAGTTTGTTTCAAGATACATATGAATGTTCAGAAAGTATTTCCTTCTGATTTTTTAAACATTTGATATTTTAAACATGTTGCTTTTCATCTTCTCAAGCTCTCTTCACTTTTTCTCAAGGAGAATCAATCCCAATAGATGCTCTGATTGAGAACCGCTCCTCTCGCCTGGTTTTGCCAAAAGCAGTGTTATACCAGAAACAGACCTACATGGCCAATGGCAAAACAAAAATCACCAAGCAGGTGGTTTCCAGTGCTTGAGGAAATGTAGTGGCATCAGACTTTTCCAGTAGATGGAATGGAAACGCACTGAAGGTTCCTCCAGTTTCTCCTTCCATACTGAATTCAGACATCCTGAGGGTGGAATACTTCCTTTCAGTGAGTAATCCATTTTAGAGGAACTAAATATAACATTTTCACTTAAAAACAATTCAATCAATGTTTTATATATAATTTGTATAGCAAATGCTTCCAATAATTTTTAAATACATAAAAAAAGTTAGTTTACTTTATACCATTTAAATGAATGTTGTGGTTGTGCCTCACCTGCAAAAAAAAATAATATATATATATGCACTGCAGTTCACAGAATTAGCTGTTAAAGCACCTAGTCAGCCATTCTGTTGTTGGTTTAGCATATTCGTAAAGACCACAAATTTTAACACTGATTAATATTTCACCGGCGATTCATTTCACTGTGCTGACCCCTGATAAGTAAGGGACTAAGCCAAAGGAAATTGAATGGATGTATGAAATTTCATCAACATGAAAACATGTGAGTCAAGGCATATAAAGCAAGAATCAAAATTTGAAAGAAAGCCAAAAACCTGTCACTTCCGTAATATTTGTTTTTCCAACTTTAGAAGTCACAGGTTTTCAGCATTCTTCAAATCATCTTATTTTGTGTTCAGCAGGAGAAAGAAACTCATAAAGATTTGCAGTATAACTACTTAAGGGTGAGTAAATAGAGTAAATTTGCATGTTTGTTCCTATTAGTATAATAATTGTCTTACATTTTAGCATTACAGTGCAAAATTGATTTTAACTGGGTCCAGCCCTGATCGTGCAAACATAGGCAAATTCTTGCTCACCTAATTTTTTAGTTGAATCAAATGAACTTTTCTTGTCATCTCAACTTACATCAACCAAACTAACTAAAAAAGTTTAACTATTTATAACTTAATACATTTAGTTGGAACCTTATTGACTTATTAAAATACTTTAAATCAATTAAAAAAGATTTGTTGTCTTTTTGTCATTAAGTTTTTGACAGTGTAGAACAGGGGTGGGCAAACTCGGTCCTGGAGGGCCGGTGTCCTGCACTTTTTAGCTCCAACCCTAATCAAACACACCTGCTTATAGATTTCTTGTGATCTTAAAGACATTGATTAGCATGTTCAGGTGTGTTTGACTAGTGTTGGAACAAAACTCTGCAGGGACACCGGCCCTCGAGGATCAAGTTTGCTCATCCCTGGTGTAGAATGTCTATGAATAAATCTAGCCCTGGTTATACAGTAGTAAAATTTTGATCTTACTTCCTTACTCCCAGGGCCGATTATATCAAAGTTGATATTTAGCCACACAATGTTGGTGTTCCGTAACATCTCATTTTTACAAGGTAGGTTGTTAGCCCAATGCTCAACCCCTAACCTGGAGGACCAGGACTTACACGCATACATTACGAACAATTTCATTAATTAATTCATTTTCTTTTTGGCTTAGTACCGAAGTATTATATATCAATCTGGGGCCAACTTAACCAGCATATGCTTTACGCAGGGGATGGACATCCCTGGGGAACACCCATATACTCTTATTCACACACACACACACACACACACTATGGACAATTAGCTTACCCAATTTAGCTTGGCCACTTGAACATAAGGAGAACATCCAAACTCCACACAGATGCCAACTGACGTAGCTGGGGCTTGAACCAGCGACCTTCTTGCTTTGAGGTGGCAGTGCTACCCACTGTGCCACTCAAAATGTTGATTTACTACTTTAAATGACAACTATCAAAATAAAATCATTACGTTCAACCTCTTCTTGTTAACGCACACTTAATAAACACCCTTGTTTGAGTGGTTGCATGTTTCTTTTGTTTCTCTGCTTCAGGTTATTGTTGAGATACCAGGTGCCAAAAATCTGGAGGTGCAGCTTCCAGTGGTGATTTGTACCAATATTCTTGGCAACAGGTTTGAAATGAGCAGTCGTTCTACTATGGGTTTGCTATACCCCACATTTACTCTACCAGATGTCGCTGAAGGTACACTGTAAATAGATGGACATAAATTGGTCATTAAGGTAAATGTATGTGCTGTATGAACTTTGTCTAATTATCATTTCATTATAAAGCCCCTCCCAGCTATGCAGAGGTAATGTCAGGGGAACGATATGAGGAGCAAAGAACTTTAACCTGTCAGTCACATCCAGACTGGTTGTTGGATGGTCCAGGATTCAGCTGCATTCGTCATTTCCACGTCCAGCCTCCTCCATCTTATTCAGAGGTCAGTTGTTTCTTCGTCATTACAATGTTCCTGGTAGACTTAAAACAGTACATTATTTTTACATTGCAGATTTACCCAAATGAACACTGAGATTTTTGTCAAAGATGCTTTTGGTGGAGAAGAGTAAGGATCACCATTGTGCCTTTCAATCGTGCTATCGTTCCTTTTTCTTCTCTGGAGTGTTTCTAGATTATGGACAGCATATCATTGAAATGTTTCTTCCTCTGTTTGATCATGAGCTCTTTTCAAAGTTCTGAAAGTTGTAGCCTCGCATAGCCAGGCTTTTTTGACAGGTTTTATAATGTAAACTTTTTTTCAGTCTCCTATTTTGACAACTATTTGACAACTCTTCCAAATAGTTGGCTGGTTGATGGAGAGAATAAACTGTAATGTGAACCAAACGTAATGCCATCTGGAGTCTGACAGTGAAAAAAAATAATATCAACATACCGGGAATGTTCAATTATTTAGTATAAATGCTCTAAGTTTATTTTGAGGTGTTGCTTTTTGGTTCAGGTTGAAATGCACAACTGAAATGTTGGTGTCTAGTTTGTGTCGATTGTGTCAGTGTCACTAAAAAGTTTTGAATGCTGGAAAACAAGTTTAGTGGAGTTTACTGATTTGTCACAGCATTAAAACTAAATAAAACCATGTATTTGTGTACAACTGGAGTAATTTCCTTTTATTTTTATGGAAATTGTCTTAGTACTCTCTAGGAATCAACAACTTATATACTGTATGTTTAAATAGCACTTGGTTATTTGAAAAACAATCCAAAAATGAAGGACAATAGGGTTGTTTTCAGCATACATTCAATCCTATCATAAATCCATATATTTTAACACATGAATAGATAATCAACCCTTATTCAGATTTATTCATACTGGAAGAGAATGTTAAAATTAACATTAGCAAATTTAATTAATCAGTTTCAGAAAAAGTAAACAAAGTGTGTCCTTTACCAAATTTCACACAGTTTAAACATGTATATTTAATTTTTGTTGTTTTATATTTTATTCTAAATGTACACAAAAGTCTATCTGTAAATAATACTGTTTATTTCTAGAATGTTCAGCTCCATCTTTAACACTTAAAGACAAAATTTCACTGTTATTGTATGTTTTAAATGTATTTTAAACTTTGAACTGTCAGTCGAAGAAAAAAAGTTACCTGAAATCCAAGTCGACAACAGAAATTTTAACAATGATTGTTTAAATGACAATTTTGCTTTGCTTGTTACATCAGTTTTACAAAAAGGGTGCAGTTCTCTAACTGCTCAAAAGCAAATAAAAACATCCACCTTTGCTTTTTACATCAGTTTTACAAAAAGGGTGCAGTTCTCTAACTGCTCAAAAGCAAATAAAAACATCCACATCAATAATTCTAATACACTTTACTTATAACTTTAAAAATACATGCTGACATTTTCATAAATGCTGCAAAAAAATAAGAATAAATAAGATTAAAACCTACCTGACAGATTATGTATACTTGCTGTGTCTCAGTAGTCCTATAAAGTGTATTATTGGACCGGCGGAGCCGCCTGAACTCTCAATGCCCTGAACCCAAAGAGATATCTCGGGTGAGATTTTATCCAAGTGTGAATGTACAATATTTATAAGAAGTCTGAATTATTTAACATGAGGCCGTCACACAGCCAGCTGTTACCTTTTGAAATGCTTTACTGATACAAAAAAGAGAAGTCTAAAATGAAAGACTGTAACCTATATGTTAACACAACATAAGCCTCTATGCAACAGCAATATTTACTTACCTCTCACTTCAAGAAAACATATGTAACTTTTCATTAGAAGATAATCAGAGTGTGGATGACATTTCTTTTTGGTTCAATGGAGATTTAGTATGATCTTTCACTTTTATCTTCTATCAGCTTGTATATTCAAGCATGGGATTAAGACAAGTTGCATCAGTTACAGCAAATCTTTGTTCAAGGCTTAACGTAAATAGATCATCTATTGTACTGCTCACTGTTTGGTCAATGTTGTATCTTTTTTTCTCAAGTATCCAGTGCGGTCAACAAAAGGCCCTTTTTATTCAGTTCAGTCATGTGTATCTCAATGACGTTTCTGTGAATCTGCTTCTGCAGGTGTTACTTGTTTATAAATGTAGCTTAAATAAGTTTAATTTCACTTGATACTTGATCTATCCTTTATTGATCTAAAAGTCATGAAATCCTGCAATTTTTTTTTGATATTTGATGCTGAGTTCATTTCAGCTTTAACAGTAGAAATTTGAAACAAGACATTAATCTTGGAGGCGGGTTGAGTCAATATAATATCTTGTGGCAAAGATCTTTTTTATTTTCTTCTTTCTTTTTTGGAAATATGAACCCCAGCTGTAATGTCACGTTCAATAAGTCAAGTTTCTTATTTACCGTTGATCTTTATTAGATCACAGGCTGTGCAGAATGAGTCAGTATTTTAATGACATATGCTGAAGGGACATGGCATCTGCGGCATCTCATGTTCAACAAAATTTATAACCCACATGTGCTGCTGCAAGTAAGATGCCAGTCCGTTTGTGCAACACCATGTTGAGTATAACATGCTCATCGGCTTACACGGAATCTGCGTGCGCAGAATTTTGCTGATTTTTAGCCCAGCATTGATTCTGTTTTACTTGTGTAAATGTGTGTAAATTTATATTTATTCAGTTTTTTAATGAATTTCAGTAATATTATTGACTAACATGAAAATATTCATTCGATTTATTTACGATACATTGTGCAAAGTAAAACTTTTCAGTCTTTTAGTAAAGATTATATGAGAGACTTGCTTTATTTACCAAATAAAGTGGATCTAATTGGATTTCCATTGAAAACATTAAATAAAAGTTAAAAGATGTAGTTTTTCTATCATTTGTTATTTTTTTTTTTATAATACTCCTAAAAACATTCTGCATAAATCTGCAGAATTTTAACAAAATTCTGCGCAGAAATAGCAAAAAATGTCCGCAGATTTCGTCTGGCCCTACTTATAAGCAAGTGAATGAAGGAGATGAAGCACCAGGTTTTGCAAATTTAAGGTTTAGTGATCTCAATCTTGAAAATTGTATCACATATAAACCAATAGAGTGCATTAGTCAGATTCTGGAAGTAAAATGACATGGATTTTTACAATATAAAACATATTCAAATAGCCTTTGCAAGCCCTGCATTTGGTGGTAATCCTCTCCAAACTCAAACCCCACAAGCACTGGTCCTAGGGTGTAGATCCACCAAGTTCCCATTACAAGGTCCCCTTAAGGCAAGTCATTTCACTTGGCAACCGTCTTTGAAATTAGTCATTGCAGCGGCTATTTCTTTGAATTAGGAATCATCAAATTTCCCAAACATTCATTTTACAAAATATACATTTTGGAATGAGCAATGAATTTTGACAATAACTCTTTTGAAGTGGCCTATTTTAGATAAGAAAAGGTCATAGTTTGGTTTCAGTTGTCCACAAGAACAGCAGTATGAGTAAGAAACGAAACGTCCACCGTAACTTATCTAGACAGTGTTGAAGTAACAAACAAATGCAGCCATGGGACAACTCAAACCTTTTATACTGTTTAGATGTTGCCTTTTGACTTGCCTTTATGTAAACGAAGTTGCTCCTTGGCTGTTGACCCAGCTGTTCTTTCTATCTCCCTATGTTAAAGCAGTTTTAACACCAATACATCATTGATGAATTGGTTCAAAACAGTATGAAAGGTTTGATTTTAAGCATGTTCGAGGTTCATTCTGACTCCGGTGAACCCAAGGTACTGCCGTGTATTTTGAGACTGCTATATGCTGAATAAACATTTTTCTTAAGATTTTCTTCGTCATAATTTTTTCTTACAATATGCTCCCACTGAGCAGCCAAATAAGGAGAAAGAACCAAATCTCCTACCACAGCCATGCTGATGACACTCAAATCTACTTCGCCTTACTGCCTAATGACTTCCACCCTATTGACACTGTCTGCCTATGCATTGATGAAATTAACAGTTGGATGAAAGTCATTGCATTTGGGAACATAAATTAGGTTCTCTTGGTGAATGAGTGCTTTGGCTTTAAGGGTGAAACAACAAAAAATACAATCAAGAATCTGGGTGTGATTCTGCAGTAAGATATGAGTTTCAGTAGTCATGTCAAGCAGTAAGTAAATCAGCATATTCATTCATAATTTTTTTTTTGTCTGCTTAGTCACTTTATTAATCCGGGGTCGCCACAGTGGAATGAACTGCCAACTTATCCAGCAAGTTTTTACGCAGCGGATGCCCTTCCAGCTGCAACCCATCTCTGGGAAACATCCACGCACTCATTCACACACACACATATGCTACGGACAATTTAGCTTTCCCAATTCACCTGTACCGCATGGCTTTGGACTGTGGGGGAAACCGCAGCACCCGGAGGAAACCCACGCGAAGGCAGGGAGAACATGCAGACTCCACACAGAAACACCAGCTGACCCGAGGTTCGAACCAGCGACCTTCTTGCTGTGAGGCGACAGCACTACCTACTGTCGCCTCACACTACCTAACTACTGACAGCCACTGCCTCGCCTAAATCAGCATATTATCATCTCAAAAACATTGCAAGAATTAGATGCTTTGTTTTCAGAGAAACTTGTTCAAGCTTTTATCACTAGCAGGGTGGATTACTGTAACAGCCTTCTCACTGGCTTTCCCAAAAAGACACTGGCTCCCAGTTACATTCAGAATAGATTTTAAAGTATTACTTGTCTGTAAATCACTAAACGGCCTCAGACCTTAATACATTACAGAAATGCTCACTGAATACAAACCTAACAGATCACTTAGATCTTTAGGATCACATAAACTAGAAAATCTAAGAGTTCAGTCAAAGCAGGGTGAATCGGCTCTCAGCTACTACGCCCCTCGCTGCTGGAATCAGCTTTCAGAAATGACCAGATGTGCTCCAACGTTAGGTACATTCAAATCAAGACTGAAAACAAATGTGTTTAGCTGTGCCTTTACTGAATGAGCACTGTGCTACGCACAATGTACTATCGAATTATGTCTTTCCTTTCCTTTCTTTTTCATTCTCTTAAAATCGGTTTTAACACGTTAATCTGTTT